GTTATGTGTCAACCCTTCTAAATCACACATGCAATGAACTGGTTAGTATTCAAGCCCTTTCTGTTAAACCCAGTTCAATAGAAGGTGCTGACCAACTACTTGCCCTATTCTAGGCACCTGGGGTAGCAAAGAGCTTAGTGCCTTCCCTTAATGCTGATGGACATCAGAGCTGATAGCAACATAGCAGAGGAGCGTCACACTCGCTGACAACTAGCTATGGGCATACCAGCCAGCATGCCTGGTATGGCTGGCTGTTTAGCACTACAAGATGGGAAAGGGGCATGCAGGCTTTTTTTAATCATAGTTAGCTCTCCTAGTGATAAGAATTTGTAGAAACACAGTTTCACAGAAGAGGGAAGGAGGCTAGAAATAGAGGTCTACAGAAAACCAACACACAAGGACCAGTACCTGCTATTTAACGCCCACTACTCTCTTGGCCACTGAATGGGAGTCATCAGGACTCTACTCCACCAGGCAAAAACAATTCCCACCAGCACGTAGGCCAAGATGGAGGAATTCAAACACCTCAGAGGGGCTCTTAAAACTTGCGGGTATTCAGACTGGGCCTTTGTCAAAATAGAAAGAAGACGAAAGAACACCAAGACTACCAGTGAGGGTGAAAAAGCATGACAAACTGAATAATATGGTCATCCCATATGCTGCTAGGGTGTCTGAGAAACTCAGAAGAATTTTTAATAAACATTCCATCCTGGTCTGCTTTAAACCCAGCAATACACTGAGACAACAACTGGTTCACCCAAAAGAACCAACACCAAAACACAAAATGAACAACATTGTATATACAGTCCAGTGCAGTGAGGAGTGCTCAGCACTGTATGTCGGTGAAACAAAACAGCAGTTACACCTGTGTATGGCACAGCATAGAAGAGCCAAACCCTCTGGTCAGGATTCAGCAGTGTACCTACATCTAAAGGAAAAAGGTCACTTCTTTGAAGACAGTCAAGTACGCATCCTAGACAGGGAGGAGGATATTTATGTCAAAATGGAGAAGCCAAGCTCGAATAGAGGTGAAATCTATTGTCTGCCGCATACAATGCTGTTTTAACACCTCTCTGGACGGGTTAACACCTGCTAGCTCCAATTATGCAAATACAATCAACACCTTTCCTCCATGAGCTCTCTGGCCCCATGCTGGTTATGATTAACAGATTATGTTGATTGGAGCAAGATTCACCAGTCATTCTGAATTGAGAAAGCTGGTTGGATGAGAAAGAAAAATACAGCAAGTGCAGTTGCCTTGATTTATTTTTTACTGATATGCTCTATGGTTGGGTTCCAGACAGTTTCTAACAGTTTAGAAACATCTGCTGGCCATCTACATTAGAGAGCTGACAGGCTACCATGATTCTTGTGCAATAGAAAGTAATTGGTAATAGTTAAAGAGGAACTTCACCTCCCCCACCCCATCCTTCTCAGGGTTAATTTGCTGTTAACCCCCTCTTACCTTGTGTGCTGGGTTGAGCTCAAATAGCAAACTCAGCTAACCAGTGAATCCAGCATCGTCCTGCTGTAATCCACCAATCAGGACCTGCTCTGTCATCTTAAAAAGGATCTGTGCGTCTCTGCCAGCTATTGAGGTATTACTCAGGGCTAGATGTACAGCAACACAAATCCTTTGCCAGGTAAAACACCTCTCACATATGTATCTAATGTAAGTTTTTAACTAATTGCCTGGAGTTCAACTTTCAGTACACCTTCATAGCCCCTTGAACTTTTAGGTTGGCCATACATGGCCCAATGTTTGTAAGCTGCTGGCAATAATCAAGCAAATGTAGGGAACAACACAGCGGTAGGTCCTCACCATGGACATATATGCGCTAAATAAGCAGTCTATAGAGGGAGGCATTGATCTGTAGGGTATAGCAGTCATCTCCACTAGCCTAATGTATAATGTGCCCAGTCTCTCACTGTCTTCTGAAGCATGTCTCCAGTCTCCAACCAAACCAGTAACATGTCCACAAGCTCTAAACATTATTTTTTCTCATGTGTCTGCAGTCTTTAAAAATTGTCTCTAGCATCACATACACTAGACATTATGTGTGCCCTTTGTTGAACATTATGTTATAGGCATCCTCTATAATAAGTCTTTCACTGTTAGGTTGTCAATTTTGAAGAGCCCTAAAGGGTTCTTTTTTATCATTGGTTCCAGAATATATGAAAAGTTTTGTAGGAGCGATTTGAATTGCTACAGAATAATTTTCTGTTGCATTTGTGCCATTTGCAATGTCTGTACTTTTATGACTCGACCCCTATAGACAACAAATGCCTAAAAGCGTATTCTCTCTAGTTAAGTGACAGGCATGTGCACAACTCTGACTAATTGTTCTATTTCTCTGATTTACTCCAGAACCATCAAGCATGACGATTGTAGCTGGACCCCTGGACATTCACCGAGCCAATAGGCTTTTGCCTAGGTTTGCATATATGGATGATCTGGGCCTGACTACAGTCAATTAAAGGGTATTTATGGTCAAAAATAAAGCCCCACTGCAAGGATTATTAATTTGTGGGGGGGGGGGGTATTTTTTCCCCTGGAGCGCTGCTTTAAAACCACATTAGAGATGTACTTTTTATTAGCTATTAGAATAACAAATAGTTCTGTTATCTGTGTTTACATTCACTCCTGTGGTTTTTGCTAATGTTGCCTGACATTGTGTCCCATAGCAACCATTTTGAATTGCTTGATAGATCCATCAACAAAAAGTGGGAAAGACCCAAACCTATCTTTGTTTATGCCCTGTGAGTTTTAAGACAAACCAAAAGACTAGCCAAGACTTCAGTTCTAACATTAGAGAAACTGAATCATTTTATCATAACTCCTATATGTTATAAAATACAGGTATGTGTTAAAGCTGAAGTCCAGGCTACAAAAACGTTCATTTAAATATGCTCCTGAATAGCCGCAAAGGATATAAATCCACAATGTGTGCCCAAATGCATTTGTAAACCCAGGTATTATTGTTGTACATAGCCTGTGCAGAGAACAAAGCTGCGGGAGGTACCCAGCTGGTCTTCACACTACAGCAGAGGAAGGCAACTCCGGCCCTCCAGCTGTGCTTTAACTACAAACCCCAACATGCCTTTGCCTCTGTAACTGTCAGTCTTGCAATGCCTGATGGGACTAGTAATTCCACAACAGCTGGAGGGCCGGAGTTGCCCACCCCTGCACTACAGGTCGCACCGCACCGTAGGAAAAACGCACCACAGAATGGGCGCTCAAGTAAGAATACACATCTGGGAAGTGTATATAATATTTACTTATCTGAGGGTTCAATTTTAAAGTCCAACTTCTAAGGGAGAAATTGTGTTTTTAATTTAAAAAAAGAAAAGTCAGAATCGCGGTCAGTGCCTTCCTATCGCAGTAACGGACATTCCGCTCATGTCTTCTCCTGTTGTCACAGTGATACAAATCGAGGGGAAATCTCCCCATCAATATAAACTTGACAGAAGTTTTAACCCATCCCCACTCAAAGCTAAGGAAAAACGTTTGAGCTGGAATTTAAACTGGTCCAGTGATAGCAATAGGAATGTATATATACAGAATTTGGGCCCTGCACAGCGTGAACTACTTAACATGCCAGAAACAGAGAAATTGAAGTTTATTTGTTGTGCATAATTAAGCAAATGAGCAGACCTTGATTTGTGGAAAGGCAGAGGTAGGCAACCTTGACACCTATAGCTCTGATGAAACTACAAATGCCATTATGCCTCTGTCTATGGGAGTCATCCCTGTAGCTGTTAGAGTCTTGCAGTGCCCAGTGGGATTTATAGTTTTACCACAGCTGGAGTGCCGAGGAAACCTACTCCTGTGCTAAGAACTTACAAGCCCATTCCTAGGGTAGTATGTTATGAAATGACAACGCAGGATCTTCACAGAAATTGGTGCTGAAATGACCGTGACAGGTGGACTCATCTATATAAATCTGCAGTATGTAGCATGTCATCAGCACATCCAGTTGCTTGTCCTATGCAGTTTTAATGATCACATAATGCCAATGTTCCTATGCCAATAAATTGACTCTTTTATCAGGCAAAAGTGATATCTAACACCATATCACTTCTAAGGATTCCATCCGGGCTCTGTTCACATTTCTGTGTTCCTAACATAGAAGGTGCGCTGAAAAGTGAAGGGTGCATTGGGGTAGGGCAGCCCATTAATTTGAACAGGCTGGCTAATGTATCTGAATCACACTATAAGAAGTGCATGAGACTTTTGTTTAAGAACAAATTGCAGCACAAAATATGGCATAAAGTTAGTATGCGTTGTGGTGCGACGCAACACACATGCAATGGCTACGTGCCATTAAAATGACATTAAAGTGAAAAGATTTTATAGCTATTTCAAATTCTGGTTTAATCACTTGATGTTAAAATGTTAGTTTCCTGCAGAATCAGCTGGTCGGTGAGCACTGGCCCTGATATCCTGTTTTGGCGTGGCTCCTTTCCCTTGCAAGAGACTATGGAGCCACCCTTGTGTGAGCTAGTAAACTGTGTGTGTCTTCACAAACACACAGGTTCAGCAAAGCAAGCAACTTCCCTGCTACTCTCTCCTCCTTCCTCCTCCCTTCTCCAAGCTAATAAATGGACAGCTGCTGGAGACTGCGCTGTTTCTTGTGATCTTGTTCTAGACAGGAAGTCCAGGGAAGCTGAGCTGGGAAAGTTGGAGCTGTTTGGAAACATGATGACTGTAAGTGCCTGGGCAAAAATATATTATAAAACGAAATAAAAAATAAAAACTTTGCTTGGCAATTTATATTTGTTTGATCTGGATTCATCATAAAAAAAAGTTTGAGATTTTTATACTACTTCAGGAAATCAAGGCACTGCAGTGCGTCCAACAGTATAACATGGGCCCTCGTACAGGAACGCACATGCTTCCCGCATCACAGAGATGTATAAGCCCTAGTGACTCCAAAACTTTGCCTGTATGTGATCTTTAAAATTGCTTTGGGTGTGCTTATGACATACCATATACCTCAATATTTTAGGTGAGCTGCCTCTTGGTTCACCATTTGTGGTTTGTATTTAGGCCCCCATTCACACCTATGCGTATTGTAATATGCGCGTCTGTCGCGCGACCGTCACGCGGTTTTTTTACCGCGATTCGCGGTAAAAAAGTCGCGCGACCGTCGCGCGATTCCAAAGGCTACTTGGCAGTATACAAATGGAAAACGCCCTACAAAACGGACCAATACGCAGCAAAAAACGCTCCGGGACCTTTTCATGCGTGGGCCGTTTTGTAGTGCGTTCGGGACGGGCGGAAATACGGACAGGTGGGAACGATACCATTGACTACAATGCTATTTATTTTTTTGACCGTTTTGTAGAGCGTTCATCGAGCGTAGGACGCGCTACAAAACGGTCAGGTGTGAATGGGGCCTTAAAGTGGCAAAGACAACAAACAAAATAGCATATCAAAATAACAAATCTACCACTTGTACAGGCCAATGACAGTCGTTTTTAGTCATGAACCTGGTAAAAGTATACAGAACAGATGTCCTGACACTGTAACTCTACTTCAAGGTCAATAATTTCAAGGTCAACCAGACAAGTAGCATTTTCAGGAGGACATCAGCAATGTCAGCCCCTTATTTCTTCCAGGTTTTCCTTTAAAGACAACCTAAACCCTTGCCACTTTACAGACTGATCACAGGCTTCTTTCTAGCAGTGAACCCGAGGGCGTATATTTTAAATGTAGTTTAATTAAACAAAATCCATGATACACGACTACAGAAATATGTAATAATTGGGAAAAACGAGTGTAAATTGGTCTATTTAAGGCACATGATGAAAATCCAGCTTTGCATTTAAAGTAGAACTTCAAAGTTTATCTTTGGATATACTGTAGTTAGGAAGATAAAAACGTTGACAGGAGTCTACTGCTTTTGGTGTCCTGTTGGGAAGACTTACAATCACTATTTGTACTTCCACCATTGTCACCAGAGCAGCAGGTGAAGGCAAGGCCAAAAGTTTTCTAATGTTACCAAAAGATGGAGGTGAGAGGGAATCCTCTGATGGGTATACTTGTTCCAAAGTTCTACTCACTTCTTGCCATTACTCCTAGACAGGAAGTAAAGGAAAATTCCTCCCACTGGGGACAGAGACAGTGGAGTTCCACTTTAACTGATAGCTACATGTTGCATAATAATAATAATAAAAAAAAAGGTTTTACTAAAGAAAAGAAAATGCAATGTGGTTGAAACCAGAAAAAAAAGATTATGTTTTGGAAGAAACAGTAAGGATGCTCAACATTTACTATATAAATCTAAATGTGTGTATTATATAAAAATATATGCTATTCTGAAAACCTGTGTGATTGTATGACTGGTCCTAAGGAATTGGTTAAATCCCCACTAAATGGAACACACGCTGTTCAAATCTTATACTGATGGGTGTATTTTGATGATGTTAATGTGCAGTTTAAGGGATACACCAAGGCGAGAGAGAGAGAGAGAGAGAGAGAGATAAGAAAGAAAGAAAGAAAGAAAGAAAGAAAGAAAGAAAAAACCTAGTAAAATAAAATACAATAAAAAGGGAAAGAAAGAAAAAAATAGAAAGAATAAGAAAGAGAAAAAAAGAAGAAAGAAAGAGAAAAGCAAGGGAAAGAAAGAGAAAAAGAGAGAAAGAGAGAGAGAGGGGAAGAAAGAGAGAGGGAGGGGGATGAGAGAAGTAATGTTAGGAAAATGTGCAGAAATTGGTATATTCAAAATAAAGATATTTTTGGTTTGAAATTAAAAAAGAAATGATGGATGGTGATTGTGTGAAAGAACATAAGAGGAATGAAGGTAAATACAGATTATTAATCTATAAATGTATTGATCTAAAGTCTATCTCAATGTAATCTTTCATATTGGTACAATGAGTCGTGTTGAGCATACAGTGAATGGATACAATCCTTTCATCTACTTCCTGTATTATACAGAACAGTAAACAGACGGGATCGTAGTGATGTTGCGACATTAGCTGCTGGCTGGGGAACAGAGATCTGTCCTGAAAAGGTTTTCTGTCTCCATGGCAACAAGCGTCCCTGGTTACCGCTTTCTTTCACAATTCCAATCCCTGCAATGCAAACTGTAGCACGAGAACTATTTGCACATTCCATACACCGATTCATCACACACACATTATCCACAAACACATCGCCCATGTCACAGAGGAGATCTATGCACATAGGAGTTCATCAAGCCACGTACAGTTTGCATGGTGCATTTATAATAGAGCAGTTATCTGATGGGCACACAGTGCGAGCTAAACTATATAAACTTACAGTGGGAGCAACATCATTTTGTGCATATAAAATGTGAAAAAATAAAGAGGATATATCATATGAAAATCTCTTATACTTTGCAGAGCCTATCCTTTGCAGATCTCATATTTTGCAGATTTTATACTTTACAGATGAACATTTAACAATCTATTTTTTGCTGATCCGGTATAAAGTCTTTGTGCCCTTGGGCTACTCACATGATAGTCCTTGTACCAGTCCTCTAGCTTGTCTTGCAGCAGTTTGCATGTCTCGCTGTTGGTCAGCCTCCTCAGGGTATCTGCCATGACTTCTCCTGGGTGCTGTGCACAGAGGATGCTGTCTGGATGCTACTAGCCCAGTACGGGCTCTGACCTCTTATATACACGGGGCGAGGTCTTCAATCAGTTTTGGCACTGTTGCTTTGATCGGGTGTCAGGGACGCTGGAGTCTTTGCCTTTTTTTCTCCTTTTAGTTGTAGCAACGGCTTTCCTCTTCCAGCCTCCCTCCTGCCCATTTCCAGGCTCACCCCCTCCCTCCCTCCTTGACTGCCATCCCCACCCCTTGCAAAGTTAGCAAGCTGCAGTGGTAGGGTCAGTGTGACAGTTATTGATGGAGTCATGGCATCAGACTGTACAGGCTGGACAGACTGGTTCTAAGGCTTTACTTGGATTTACTGGTTATTCAGCATTCATGGCGAATTAAATATCAGCTGTGCAAGACAGGCTTAACATACATGGGACATGGATAGTGATCAGGTGCTACTGAAACTGTAGATCAGATAGGAAAAACAACTATCACTCACATGGAGTTTGCATTATTAGTTATATTATATTTTAAAAAAATGTTTTATTTGTTTGAAGCATGTAGTGTATTTAGTGCCTGTATTTAGTGCCTGGACAAGGCAAGTGCTTCCAGTGCAAAGATGCCAAATTGTGACCCCCCACCCCCACCACCCCGGTTTATTACACACAAATTAGTGTTTTTTCAAGACAAGAAAATATTTTAAACATTTTAAAATAAAATTGATTTATTAAAACAAAATTCACTCACAGCTGGCCCCCAACAGTCCCGGCCCTATAATGAGGCAGCTTGAAGCGGTTGCCTCAGGCGGCATCTCATTGGGGGGCGGCTGGGTGGTAGGGGCAAAAGGGGGCAGCCACAGCATCCCAGGTTGCTAAGAGCAACCCTTGATGCTCTGTTTGGCTTCCCACCGTTTGTCAGAAGCTGAGTGGGACACTCTGGCTTGCTCCCCCAAAGCTCCTGGAAACTGATGATGTCAATAACCTTGGCGGGATGCCGGAGAGAGTCGCTGACAGTATGGTTCGTCTGCGAAATCACCCGGCCCAAATGACAAGACAGACAGATAGATAGATAGATAGATAGATAGATAGATAGATAGATAGATAGATAGATAGATAGAATATACACAAACAGATAGAGTGATGAATGTAAACTGAGTGTGTATATGCAATATAATAGTGAAAGCATTAGAAACACTGCATTTATTATATGTGTAGAGTGTACTCTACTCTTCGTACGTAGCAGTGTGGTGACATATACTATGTGAGCAGTGAGGGCCTGATCACACTAGCCCATCTGCTAAAACACTGCATTCCCTCTACTGGATCACTACGATGGGCAAGTGTGTTGTGGCTACACAGTCAGTTGTATCACGGTGTGCTGCACTGTCATGTGGCGACCTACGGTGGTGTCCAGTCTGCTGCGATAAAATACAGCATGCTTTCATTTTACTACAGTGCACCACTCATCAAACCCATGTTGTGGTGTAAATGAGGCACATAGAAAACAATTGTTTTATATGTGTCCTTGCAGTGATCTGTGTTGAACCAATGTGATAAAACACAGGTCGCCGCAGTATGTATGAACGGGCCCTGAGTGCAGTAGCTTGAAAACATAGGGCTGTGCTGCAACACATCTATCCCCTACTGCTGGGCCACTCAGCCATGGAGCTAGAGGAGCTGAGCCCGCTTTACTGCATGACCCCCTCTATGGGCAGAGAGTCTGAGCAGTGGATCTGTGGCACTGTCATTAACCCTGCACCCTGCTTGTGGGTGCGGAATCTGGGCAGCAATGCTGGGAGGGGAATTTGGGCAGAGGCACAATCTGTTACAAATTTTCACCATATCTGTGGGTGAGAATCCAAGGTAGCGGTGGTGTCTTTTAATCTGTACGGACTGGTCGGGAATGCAGCCAGTGACGCTGCTGCAATGGGGATGTTTTTGTGCCCTTCACATAAAAACTGTGCCCATGGCAGTTGCCCAGAAATGTCACCAGCAAATCAAAATCCTCTAAGGATAGCAGAATGTTCATTGATTTGAAGTTCCTTGTCATATAAATACAAATGTTTATATGACAAGGAATTTCAAATCAATGAACATTCTGCTATCCTACAAGGATTCTGGTGTGCTGGTGACATTTCTACCTTTCAAAGATCTGAAGATTCTCGAGCGGCCGTGAAGGATCATGAGCGGGCGTGAAGGATCATGAGGTGGGCGCATGCGAAGTAGAGATCTTCAGCCGGGAAAAGAGGGGAGACACAGGGTAAGTCGATGGCCGCACAGGCACCGTCAGACACAGAAGACACAGCAGTCAGCGCTGGATCAGAGACCGGCACCAGTACTGGAGGAACTCCTGAAAAATACTGGAAAGAAGATGATCGGATCAAGAGGCATCATTTAAAGTAAGTCCTTAAAGCAGCATTGGGGAGGGGGGGAGGACTTTAATGTCACTTTAACACCAAAGTCATCAAAGTGTTCCTATTAAGGGTACCCATAGACCTGAGATGGCTGTAGTCCAATCCAAGCGACAATCTTGTGTTTGTTGGTGGACCCTGAGCTGGGTGGCCATCCACTGTCAGGGAAAAAATCAATCAGGTAGGAAAGAAGCCTGTTATGATTGCTATTTATGTCCCACTTATAAGCTCCAGTACCGACCCCCCCTTCCCACTCTTCCCCCTACCAAAGTCATGAAGTATCAGCTTGTTCTTGCTAAGGGTACCTATAGACGGGAGTGGAGTTGGCTGTTACCCAATCCATGTGACAATCTTGTGTTTGTTGGTGGGCCCTGAGCTGGTTGGCCATCTGCTGTCAGGGGAAACAGTAATCAGGTAGATAAGAAGGCCTGAGGCGCGTTCAGTTCCTTAGCCGAGCACTGAGTGGCTGTTCTGCAACACTTCAGTTCGCTGCAGCAGCTTTGCTCCTTTGCAACTCTATGGCTGTACAGTGCTAAGCATAATGGCGGAGGATAGTGTTTGACTAATAAATTCCATTTTCCAACGAATATATGGTGTGCTCGTCCATGGGGGGGGGGGGGGGGGGTTATTTTTAAGCCATATATTATCACAATTGCCTATTTGTTTTGTCCATATTTATATGATTGGCACATGTGTTGTCAGGAAACTATTATTTACTTATTTCAGGTATTTATATAGCGCTGACAATTTATGCAGAGGTTTACATTCACAACAGTCCCTGCCCTCAAGGAGCTTACAATCTAAGTTCCCTATCTCACATACATAGAGGGGCAACTTACACAGGAGCCAATTAACCTACCAGCATGTCTTTGGAGTATGGGAGGAAACCGGAGTACCCGGAGGAAACCCATGCAATCACTGGGAGAACATGCAAACTCTTTGCCGGTGGTGTCCTGGCTGGGATTTGAATTTGGGACCCCCTGTGCTGAAAGGCAGAAGTGCTAACTACTATGTGACTGTGCTCACAATTGGCCATCTGATGTCCTTATAATGTCACAATTGTCCATTTTTTTTGGCCTGCATATTGTCACGATTGCTTGTATGCTTTCACGATTACAAAATTGTTGACTGTATATAGTCACAATTGCCTGTTTGTTGTCATTGTATTGTCATGTTTGTCCATATGTTGCTCGCATTTTGTCACAATAGCACAAATACAGCCTGTATATTGTAAATATTGCCCATTTGCTGCCTGAATATCTTACCAGTTTAACTGACTGTTCCTGTGCATTGTATACAATTGCCCATTTGTTGCCCATGTATTGTCAGAATGGTACAATTACTACTGAAAGTATCTTTGTATCTGAGTGTAGAGGTGGTAGTGGTGGTGGGGGGGGGGGGGGTTCAAAGGGCAAATTTTGTT